GGAAAATTTAAGGAGTTATTATTATGTACGTTTAGATGATACAACCGGTAGGATACTTTTGCACGTTACTGTATGCCAACCAAGAGACCAAGCCCACATCATTTTGCTGGTCTTACTTAGACCCCAAAGATAAATGTTCATTGGTCAGTTCATCAGTGATGGGTGGAAACCTGCTGGCTGGAAGTCCAAAAGGGGGGCAGGGAAAGAAAGTAAACACAACATCAGGGGGCCTCATACATAAACTTGGCCAAGGGAAAATGATGCAGCCAAGACTGGACTGTGACCATAGGGAAAGAACAGCAGAAACAGTCCAAATACTCCTCCTTTGTCTTGGACATCTGCAAGATCAAATTGACAGATATATCAACAGCAGAAGAAGGTCATACATCACTACTCACATATGTTCTTACCTTACTTGATGAAAATTTGCATATCTCCATGGAGACATAATACAAGATGAAAGGTCATTTCTACTGCTGATCAATATTAATATCTTGATCTTGTTGTAGTTGTTGTTGATCTTCTTTCCTTATGTCCTTTTTTATTCACCAGCAGAGCCATCAAAGTCTATATATCAACCAAACTTCCCTTCCCACTCCTTTTCTAGAACTTGTTCTGTCTCTTCCAATCCACCCTCTTTAATTTAACTTATCAATGTATTTGATGATATGTAGCCATTATTCTTACACCCTTGTTGTTCATTGGAGAAAGAAGAGGTTTTCTGCCAGTTGCATTTGAAGATTGAATTCAGAATGGATAACCATGTTAGTGAATATATCATCAGTTGTGAATACCATATGTATGGAGGTTTCCATGTGCACGTGCTTTTAGTAACTTCTAGAAGGTCAAGACAGTCAATCAGTGTTATTTTGATTTGAGTGCAAGTGGCTAAGAACGTTTGTGCAGTAAATCTTCTTGGCAGCAAAACGGAATCAACAAGTCCAGAAATTATATCGATAAACGATGCCTCGACAAAGGGCGGGGACCCCCCTATATATAAGAAACGATGTTTACACCCTCGCGTAAGAAACGCGATGTAAACAACTTCCAAATGCGTCTATTGCGGAAAGAAAAGAATAAAAAGAAAGTGGCCGCACTGTTGCCTGTAGAGACTACGGGGACACGTTGCCAACCAAGGCTCTGTGCATGGCGAAAAAATGAAAACAATCTACCAAGGTATTGACCAAGATACCAATAATGAGGAGAGAACTGTTAGCTCAACAGTACAAGAAAACTGACACGCCAAAGGCTCATACACTAAGTTAGAAAACACTCCCTCTCAAACCCGAACTCAAGCCAAGATAACAGGTAAATCGGTATGTATTATTTGAAAAAGATAACCTTTTTTTTTTTATTTCAGAATTCTACACCAAACGATTATCGTAAATCTTGTCTTTATAACTCTTCTTTCAAATGATAATTGATGAATTATAGTAAGGAACTTAAGGCTGTTATAACAGAAATTTTAAAATCAGCAAGACTCACCATCGTACCGTTCGTTGGTCGACATCGCGTCTCAATTGTTTTATCTCTGTTATTCTCAGCGCTAATCGTCATCCTCTTTAAAATAAATTGTTGAGATCACTAACTATTGTCGAGTGGGTTCATATCGATCGTACTTTTCGTCATTAATATTAATATGGGGAATACGCGTTACAAATTTTGTGTCGCCATCACATGATTGATGCCAAATAAATTTTTGTCACTTTAAATTTAAATTCAATCAACCTTTATAACATGGCCGGCATTTATCGCACTTCGCATGTAGGCGTATCCAAACAACTACACAGTCATACCGCACACTCCCTGCATTCTTCATTCTGCATATTATTTACACCGTTTAAACGACCAGTCACGTACATTACTATTAGACGAAATGCAAGCGTTTTTGCATCACGCAAACAATTACTTGGAAGATACAGTCTCGTTGACACTTTAAAAACGACAACGAGAGAGTCAACAAGAACATTAAGCACGACTACAAACACTGACCCAAAATCCGAAAAACTCATATCGTCCTTTGCAGCCACGCGGACAAACAACAACAATAATAATAACACAAAGAATTCCTTGCTCTCGAGACCCGAAAAGGAGGATAGTAAAAAGAAGGATGATAAAAATGTCAAGGCCAACAAACCCACATCTGCGACTTTGAGAGTACTGAATACACCGAATTCTTCTATAGTAATGCATCGGCTAAATAATCTTGGCATATTAGGTGATTAGCAGGTTTTTTTTAAAATAATGAAAAAGCGAGAGACTCAATTTTATCATGTCTCTGCTTGATACCAGACGCGTACGCTCCGCCAGAGAAAATGCCAAAGATGTTTACGAAAGAATATTTCAGAAAACTCCGCCAACGGTCAAAGAATTTTTGGAAAAATTTGATTCAGTAAGACGGGGACTTGGCTCGCACATTCTCCATTATTTTCCCCACTCTAAATAATTCTTATCATTTGCATATTTTTTGCTGTTAGCGTTGGGCTAACGAGACGAGCAGAGCATAAATTAAAACTCCCAGCAGACAAACAATGGAAAGCTACCCTGTTCAAAATAGAAGCCGTCGAAATATACAAGGAAATGAATAGGCTCTTTGCAGAAGGAAATGTCAAAGAGCTCAAAAGAATTTGTCACGAGCATATGTTACAGGTAAGATGGGGGCGAGAGGGAGGCGAATGTGAGAGAGTGTGAGAGAAAGAGTGAGCAATTGATAGGTTACGATTTTAGTGTACGAGTTTAATCCTGAATCTTGGGATGTGATCCTAGTACTTAATCGGTTCTCTTTCCAGAGGCTTAAAAGTCAACTGAAATCGAGATCACCAGGCAGATATATATGGAAATTTGGCGGAATGGTCGAAAAGCCACGTTTTGTCAATGTTCGAGCGTTTCAAGTCATGAGTTCAGACGAGTATGTGCTTAATCAAGTTATCATACGGATACACTCGAAACAGGTAAGTCCATACGTCCGTAGTTATTTCTCAGTTACGCTTTCCTATTACATCCATACTCAGTCCATCTCTCTTATCCGAACCAGTCCTTGGTCGTTTACGACAGTTCTAATAACTTGCGCGGTGGGGATCCAAACAAATTCCAAAATGTCCTAGAATATGTAGTATTCCAGCGACGCTTATGGGAGCCGGATGAGGGTTGGGTTGTTTACGGTTATTATGTACCCGACAGAGATATGAGTAATGTTGTGAGCCAGACAAAGGATGGTAAAAAATAAGAGAAATAGGCAGTGGAATAGCGAAACGGGCTTGTTGAGAGTGTAGATTTGATGGATAGCTATCATTTTTCTTTCTCGGCGAATCGAAGGTGACAAGTGAGAGGAATCAATGTTGAATAAAAGACTTATTTATGTCCATAAAAATCGGTCTAAATTATAAATGCGTGTCTGTCTGTTTCTAATGCTACATTTTAACGAATGTTCAAGGTTTCTTTCCACTTGGCATCCATCACTGGCAACGGTCGCTTCGTGAACACGTACTTTTTCCATATTAAAGATACAGCACAATACTCAATCTTTGCTTTCCCATTATTTTTCTCATTCAATTCACCACCTTCGTTAGTCCGACTATTCGCCGACTCTCCGGCATCTAAATAATCTGTCATCTCGACATCTTGTAGCTCTGCTTTTGACGGATTTTGAGACGACGGAAGGGGATAATGTGCCCTTTTGACGATGATACAATGTGGAGATTTTAGTTCCACTAGTTTACCTTCTATGCGTTTATGATCGACGTAGAGAATTGGGACACCCTAAAGATATCATTACATTCCCTTGAGTTAAATTGTAAATAGCATTCGTGTAGAATTTAAGACGACGTTTAAAGTTCAAGGTCGTAATGATGAATACCTCTTCAAATCGTATTCTTCCAACGTACAGATCTTTCCACTCGTCAGCACCGTACTTTTCTAATTCTCCTTGCAATTCAATCAATACTATATTGTTCATGTTTGTATCTTGTGGAAATGATGTGGAGCATACAGGAGCAAAAGTGCATGGCCGATCGATTAGAAGCTTGACCATTGTTCTTTTCTTATTGTAAAGGTTTTGACAACAGAGTAGAAGTTGAGATGTATTTGAGAATTTCACTTAACGCGACCTAGCGCGTGAACAATTTCCCATAAATGTACAATTACATATTTCACGTGCCACAACTCTATCATCCAATCCTTTCCGTCCATATGTCACTTTCTCTCTACATGTCTTTTTCCCTCTTCACATACCTGCTTTCTTCATAGCTTACCTAAATTTACAGAAAATGTATCAACCACAGAAATTTTACCCACAACAGACCGCTCACTCCCCGCCACCCTTACAGCACCCGATCCCCACTCATCCACCGATACAAATGCCTGACCCACCGTCTGGTCCGCCTGGTTCGCCGCCTCCACCAATACCAACGGGATATAGTACTATGTTGGGACAGCCAATGTCAACACAAGGAAATTACCAAGGGTGGCATCTGGAGGGAGAAACAGCGCAGATTGGATTACAGTTTGGGAAGAATGCTGTTATAGCTGGTAGCGAATATGTTGAGAAGAATGTAAGGAAGTGAGTCGAAAAAGTGGGTGCATGGGTGTGCGGGTATGAAAGTATTTTGGGAAGATCGATCTTGTCAAGGTTGTGAGGAGCATTTCAAATGGGTGAATAGAACAAACGAAGAACATTCTTCTTGCAATCTTAAATTAGACTGAAAGGAAAAGATTTATTGATCTTGTTGGGACATTATTAATACTTCTCAACTTTGATCATAGCCACCCCCTATCTTTTTTGCATGACTTGCAGAAATAACAATCTCTGAAACCTTATTTATATTTTGCGTTAACAAAAATTCTCGCAGATAAACCGCTACGTAAATTTTCCGGCTCTCAAACATTATTTCAACGTGAATAATTCTTACGTTGCAAATAAGATTCTCCTAATATTATTTCCTTGGCGGCACAAGGTAAGTGAAGAATATACGATCGTTTATTCGCGGATCCAATGTTTGATGTTGGTAATTTGTACGTGGGTTTTGCACGGAACATTGACGATTTGATAATTGGTTCGCCGCAATAGCCGTGGACAAGGTTGGTGAGAAGATCTGAGCAAAATGGACAAATGGAAGGGTATGAGCCACCACGAGAAGATACAAATTCGCCTGATTTGTATATTCCAAGTGAGTGTAGATTGCCGTCAATTGTAACATGTTGAATACTTATAAACTAATGATTGCGGTCTGTTCTTGTGTAGCAATGGCTCTCGTAACATACGTATTACTTACAGGAATAGTAGCAGGAACTGAGCGCAAGTAAAGATCGTGTTTATAATAAGCTGAAATCATAATAGATAACGTATTCCCATGTTGATACATTCTCTTCTTACTCAATCTAGATTCCATCCAGAAGTATTGGGAATGAATGCTACAGCAGCATTCCTTATTGTTATTTCTGAATTGGCGTTCATAAAGACTGGATGTTATCTGTTGAGTATCACATCTGAAAGTCAGTTTTTGGATATCATGGCATATAGCGGATACAAATTCATCGGGTATGAAATTTCCATTAGATGAAAAGACGTCAACATGTTTACGGTAAATTCAAGACATTAACAATTCGCAAACTTTAATGCTACAGATCGATAGCAACCTTGCTTGTATCTCTCGTGGCTCCATTCTGGGTTGTTCTCGTAACATTCTTTTATGCTGCATTTGCCAACGGATTTTTCCTTGTAAGTATCATATTTGTGGGGCATTGGGACACCAGTTCGTAAGAATCTCTACGCTTCAACACTTACACTTATCTCCTCTATTTCCTCCTCCACAGCTTCGGTCTCTTCGGTACATTGTGATTCCTGATACAACAACGACAGTTAGTGTTCCTCAGCGTAAACGAAGGATTAACTTTCTCTTTTTTATTGCAGCTTTGCAAGTAGTATTGATGTATTTATTAGTTAAATAGTCTAAATACGGTGTGAAAAAAAAAGTATATTTATTATACAAAACCCAAAGTGACAATATGACGTCACTTTAAATCATTCTACAAAGAAAGCATAGAATCGTAAGGCGAGCCAGAGCAAAAACGAATAAATAGAGGATTGTCCATTGTAATATCGTTTTGGAAACGATTAAACTGAAAATTGTTACAATTGAGAAATGGGAAGTGGAGATAATCGTTACCTGACTAATGTTCAGACGTCCCGGGAGCATCTATTTCCAGACAACAGTCGCCGTCAATCAAACCTAGAGAGATTGTATCAACGAACTTTTTAATATTTGACGAAGTAGTTAAACCCAGTAACTCAGAATGGAGATTGTCAAGCGGAGAACTCGTCAAAAATGTCCTCTTACAAAAGACCTCAATGGTTGCGAAAGTCAGAAATGAATATATATATTATAACTCTAAATCCCTCAAATTTAGAATCGAAGTGGTATATTTTGTAACTTTGTATAAAAAATCGAGCTGCAACTATTATCCAGCGAACATTCCGTCTATGAAAAGGTCAGCTAGTGTTACGGTCGGGAATTAAATGGGGGGTTTTGGGATAGAGATTTTATCTTTCGCGTAGGTGTGTTCGCCGACCAGGGGATGTTACCAGGCTTAGCTCGCACTATCGCCCTTACTACGATAGTTATACAATTTAGACTGAATTAAGCCTCAAGTGACCTATTTCAGTTATGCGCGCCTCTCACTCCCTACGTGAATACAAATAAGGGTACCTCTAATAGAATAATAGCAACAATTATTCTATTAAAGAATCGAAGGGGAATAATACTATAAAAATAAACAGGGCTATCTTCGATTTGTGTTTCGACTAGTCGGTATCCGTACTAAACTAATTAAACAATATTCGTCTCGATAATTAATTATGAACTCTCGTTCCGTTATTCACGTAATTGATCCGCGGACAGCTTATTAGCTTGATCAAACCAATGCTATTCCGTTACAGCTTAAGTGATCAATTATTTCGACGAGGGTCCTACTGTATTTCATCGACAATCATTTCACCGACAGTACATTTCACCGACAATTAACTACCAAAATTCGAAATAATGTTGGTGAAGATTTGTCGGTGAAATGATTGTCGGTGAAATGATTGTCGACGAAATGATTGACTCCCTTTCGACGATAGAATGTTAAATTATGTATATTTATAATAAAGGATTTCAGGAGAATATTACTAAGATCAGTAATATTTATTTATTCAACTTTTCGATGCTCCCGCAGTGGTAGGCCTGCAGCGTTATATGATCGTGATAAGAGATGAGAAAAGAGTGTGGAATATGGTTATATTTAGTAATGAATCTCGACTTGAGATGTTTAATAATGATTCACGAATGTGGGTATGATGGTAGATGGTGAAAATATAACAAGGATTGTTTACAGCCTACTGTGCAAAAGTCCGATGGAATAATGGTGTGGGGTTGTTTTTGTAGAGGTATGATAGGGCCATTAGTCTTAGTTGGAGGTAGAATAACAGCAGAGAAATACAGGAAGATACTTATACCATTTCTCAATAATATTGGATTCTCAGAATATCTTTTTCAGATGACAACGCTCCAGCGCACACAGTGAAGTCAACCAGAACTTGGAAAGAGGATAATTCTATTAATGCTCTTCCCTGGCCTGCTCCAATTTATGGGGTGAATTAGATAGAAGAGTCAGAGCACATAAGCCGAGACCTACAAACAAACGAGAACTGTTTACAGTTATCAAGAATAAATGGAAAACATAGAGATAGTAAAACTAAATAATTTGATCGATAGTATGCCTCGGATAAAGGAAATATTAATGATTTCTAAAAACTTCATGTTAAGTTGAATCGAATAATATAAATTTTATTTATGTTTAATAATCCGAAGCTTGAGTGATAGCGATTTGAAAGAATCATCTGATCACGAGGATGGTGATCTCATTTAAGCAAATTATAGCTTGTCAAGTTCTGTGACTTGATGATAGCTCGATACAGCAAGTTCCAACTTTAAGAAAAGTGTGAATTTTTTTTCAAAGACTAGAATACAAAAGTGTGACTGTAGGAGGTGACTGTAGGAGGTGACTGTATGAGGTTAACAATAAAATGATCTTCAATCTGACGTCCATTCCGATCTGACAATGCAAATTATGAACTGTATGACGTATTAGTATTGAGATGATCTGATTGACGGAACGGAATAATAATACAGTCAACCCTCTCTATAGTCACGCTGTCGGGAACAATGCAACTTTTATTGAAAATGTGCGTATAAAGAGGCTGTGACTATATAGAGGGTTTTTCTATAAGTTCAATAGTAATTGCGGCAGATTAAACCGAAATTGGGGTCTTTTTGGATCCTCTTTTAATGCCTCTGAAACCTACATGTACTCTTCTATTAACAAAAGTTACCCTAAATCCCAACCCAATCCCCCCAAAAAATTTTAAATTTTCATATTAAATAGAGAAAATTTCGGTTTAGTTTAATCTGTCACATTAAACGATTGACCAATGGGGGGGACGTAATCCAATGTGTATATAAAGCCAACGATATCGGATCGATGAGAGAAATAAATCAAACAAAAAAAATTACTCTTGCCGATAGAACCACGAATACCTTCACCTGGACTCTCTAAATCGTACTCGCTTTTCCCCCCTAAGGCTGGCCCTGCCATTACAAGAACTCATCGACCCAATTCGACGCTCATGCCGACAGCGAAAGAATAGTACATCAAAAGAAGTACCCAAATACAAGTGAGAAGAAGCAAAATACTGAAATAGATGCAAAAACGAAGGAAGCCGGGACTTTATTTTTTTTGATGGGTTTAGAGAGTGACAAAAGAAGAAAAAAAGATGTAAAAGTGGAAGCGAAAAGCCCCATTTGTGCAATTGCTCCTATTTTCCAGTTAACGCTTTACAACATTGTGTCGCTCTCCACCCCAGAAAGGCATTGACTCAACCTAAAATTCGCTATTCCAGAAAAAAGTTGGCTTATTTTGAAATGCGAAAGTATTGTTATCCCAGGAAAAAAGCTGACTTATCTTGGAATATGCTATCCCAGAAACATATTGACTCACTTTGGCATGCAAAAGCATCGCTATCCCCGAGAAAAACCGTATTATAAGGAGAAGGCTCTGGATATAACCCTAAATACTAATAACCCTGTAGTCAAACAATGGCTAAGCACACTAGATTTGAGTAATGTGCCTAATTTAGGCCCCTCTAATGGTGGGAATGTTAATTACAATCCAACATTGCGTGGACCACCCACTGTAATCGCACCAAACCAGGGTTCATGGACATGTCAAAAGTTCGTTGCTCCGGATGACATTGCTGACTGCCCTGATAAGTTCACCTGGGGTCTCAATTTACTCCCGCATTATTGGCGGCATTGGCAGCCAACAAGGTCCATGCAACATTCTTTGTCATTGGTTCTCGCATGGTGTGTTCTTAAAAACATTATCGGTCAAGGTATGTATGATCACAATTGAGAATGTGCCGTGAAGTGTTAATAAAATTCATGTACAGTCCCCGGCGAAAAGAATGGCGGTGACAATTGTTTTTAAAGTTTTTATAAAAATTCGATACAAAAATCGGTTA